CCATAAAATAACCAAAATATAAAATTAATAAATTCCAAATTTAAACCAATTAACGCTTTAACCCAACCGAATTAAATATCTTATTGAATATCTTATTATTTATTATTAACGAATTATTAGCTACATCAATTATTGCCTTATTTTCCCTTAAAAATTGTTGTCCTAAAATACCATCCCTAGGTATAGGAAACGAATCACGTACTACTTGAAATACCGTTTCAATATTAACTTCATTAAATCTTAAAATTATCTTAATTTGTCCTACTGTCGACACTATCTTATCATTAATTCCCTTTAAATATATTTTTTTTTTTTTTTTTTTTTTTTTTTTTTTTTTTTTGTTTACTAGTGTGTCACCTGTCAAAGCACTAATTTTTATTAAGTTAACATCACTTCCAGTATCTACCAGCAATTCTATAAATTCTTTTCTTATATTAACAGACTGGCAAGTGACATGATTGTTGTTTAAGACTGATACGACGTGTAGGCATTGTCGGAATCTTCCTCGACCGCGGCTATTAAATTTATCGGGCGAGTGCCACTCATATCGCCCGATCTCGGCAAGTTTTCCGAATTATTGTTGTACCTATCGTTATTCGGTTTCCTAAAACACTTGGTAACGTCATGTCCAGATTTTTTACAATACGTGCATATAACGTCTACCTGAGCGTTGTAATTAGTAGGCTGTCGCGTGAAATTATTGTTAGATGGACGTGAATTGTTACTATTACGATGCTGTACACAATCCCGGGCAAAATGATTGCCTCCGCATTGATAACATCGTATGTTACCTATTGCATTGTTATTATTCCGATAATTACTACCACGATTATATTCATTGCTGCGATTAAAATTATTATTGTTGCGAGGCTGGTATTGATTATTATTGAAACTGTTTCTATTATCAGGTCTATTAAAATTCGGATTTCGATTGTACTGTGGTCTAATATAATTCGAATCTCTAGGATTGTAAATTTGTCTCTGTGAATTGTTATTATTATGATTCGGTCTATTATTAGTGGATGAATTATAACGATTATTAAAATTATTATTCCGCCTATTAGAATTATTGGTTTCCCTGGTGGAGTTGTTTACTTGTCTACCTGAACTATTGCCTCCATAATATTGGTATGCATCTGACTCAGACTTAATTTCGGTCTCTTCGTCCTTAGCAACCTGAATAGCTAATTCTAAAGTGGGTGGTTTTTGAGATTTCTTATCATCAATTATGGTTGTGTTGTCAACCGATTCGTTATCAGTTTCCTTCGAACTGGTAACTGTACTTGACTCACTATCATCGTTACTAATTATATCAGAACTTGTTGTACTTGATTCACTATCCTCGTTACTAATTATATCAGAACTTGTTGATTTAATCACTACTACTTCCCTAAGTTCCTGATCTATCAATTGTATACTTTCAGATTCACTTTCAGTCAAACTGGTGTTATTATCTTCTTGACTCATTAATCAATAATCACTTAATGTAATAGTATGAATGAAAAACGGAATTAAAGTGCAACTGACACACTAGTATACAAAATTTTAAATCGTATGCAATAATTAATTCTCTAACGAAATTTAACGAAATAACTAATAACTATAGTGCGTAAAATAAACAGTAAATTATTAATCAAATAATCAAACAATCAAAATAAATCAGCAACAATTAACAATAAATAATTAATAACAATCGTTACCAATTATTTACAATTAGCCCTATTGCTTCAATACTCAAATCCAATTTAATTACTCAATAATTTATTTAAAGTAAATTTTATTAATAATAAAAATTTAACTTAACTTGCCTATCTTAGATTTAATTTTAATTTAATTAATCAATACGATTTAAAATTAAAATTTAATTTAACTAGTTACTCTAATTTTTTTTTTGCTTTAATTCAAATTAATCAGCCAATACGACATCTATTTTAAAATAGTAACTCTTATTACTGCATTAATTGAATTAAAATTTTCTTTATAAATCAACCTACTCTTTTCAACACATAAGGACTTATTCCGGCCTTGTAAAATAAAATTCAAAATATAGACTCACTGTCTTCAAATAATTCACAATATCAGGACTTAAAATGCACGTCTGCATAGCCTATAAAATTCAATAATATCGACTTCAATTGTCGTAATAACACAAATAACACAAAAAGGACTTACAACACGGCCTATAATAAAATTCAATAACAAAAGGACTTACAACACGGCCTATAATAAAACTCAATAAAATTCAAAAACAAAAGGACTTACATCACGGCCTATAATAAAATTCAATAAAATTCAAAAACAAAAGGACTTACATCACGGCCTACAATAAAATTCAATAACAAAAGGACTTACAACACGGCCTATAATAAAACTCAATAAAATTCAAAAACAAAAGGACTTACATCACGGCCTATAATAAAATTCAATAACAAAAGGACTTACAACACGGCCTATAATAAAATTCAATAAAATTCAAAAACAAAAGGACTTACATCACGGCCTATAATAAAATTCAATAACAAAAGGACTTACAACACGGCCTATAATAAAACTCAATAAATTCTCAATATGTATATTCACCACATATTCAACAGTAAATAATTAACCCCCTTTTACTTAAAATTATTCTTAATTAATTCTTAATTTATTATAATAATCAGCACGAACTATTTCAATGAATTGCTTCTAGAATGGAATTTGTTAACTAGAGAAAACTTCTTAAATAATTTCAACTATAACTGTTAATTAATTAATAAAATAAATTTTCCTCAAATTGATTACTATCTGAAATAATTTATTAAATAAAACAATGCCTTTAATTTATTTCTTCTCTAAATAACTGAATTGAATTTCCGTTGTATTTCAATAACTATATTTATTCCTAAAATAATTTTACTATTCTATAAAATTATTAGTTAACTCAAATTATTATAATAATCAACACAATTGAATTCGATAATCTGATGCGTAAAATAGAAATTGTTCAGCTTAAATAAATTTAAATAGTAGGTACAAATGTCTATAATTAATCAATCAGAAAAATTATATTTGAATATGAAAATTAAAAATCCCGAACAATTAAATTGTTTAACTAAACGATTAAAATTTATTAAATTTTATTATTTTAATTTACTTAAATGATTAAATTAAATTGTTGAATTAAATTATTCAAATGATTGAAAATTATTTTAAAATCAAAGTGCTATTTCTATTTTATTTAAATGATTGAAATTTATTTTAAATTTAATTTATTATGTTAAGTTAAAATTGAATTATTAATTTAAATTATTTAACTGATTGGATAATTTATTGTAAAATAAAATTATTATTTTATTTTATTTAACGATTGAAGATTTAGTTTAAAACTAAATATTATTTTAATTTAATTTAATTAAATGATGTAAAAATTTTTAAATTATTTTAAATTTATTAAATGATTGAAAATTATTTTAAGTTAATTTATTATTTTAAATTATTTAAATGTTAATGAATTTATTTTATTAAAATGGTTAAAAATTGTATTTAATTTAAACTATTATTTTATTTTATTTTATTTTAAGTTAATTTATTATTTTAAATTATTTAAATGTTAATGAATTTAATTTATTAAAATGGTTAAAAATTGTATTTAATTTAAACTATTATTTTATTTTATTTTAATTTAATTTATTGAATAATTTTATTATAAATAAATTTATTATTTTTATTTTATTTAGAAATGACTTAAAGTACTGAACAATATCTATCTTATTCTATTAAATGATTGAAACATAAAATACTTGAAAATAAAATTTTATTTAATTTAATTTAAAGTTAAAAATTTTTAATTTATTTAAAATAATTCGCGACGTTATTTTAAAATAAATTATTATTTTATTCAAATGTTATTTAATTCAATCCTTGAAAATTTCTCGATTTATTTTATTAAAACACTGGTAAAATTCAACACAATTTCGGTTTGTTGAAACGAAAATTCAAAGTTCCTAAAATTTCTTATATTACTTAACACGACTAGTTTCTTCACTTATTACTATATACTATGGTCTTGCGCATAAACCATAGGAGACGAACACCTCGATATTATTCACGTAATTATACTTACAACAACGCAGCTGGTACAGCGGGTGCTTCCATTGCTTGGTTGAATGTTGATTGTAGTTGTGTGTTACTCAGTTATACAGGATTCTTTCTCGGAGTTGCTGGAAGGTGTACAGGCTCCCAACGGTGGTCCAGTGATGGATTTTCCTCCTTGATTGAATTTAGAAGTTGAAAAATTTTCAAAAATTTTTCGAAAAATTTCGAAAAAATTTTTTAATTGTTCCTCGATTTCTTCTAAGTATCTTTTGAGATCCCTGTCCACAGCGCCAATTTTGTAACGTGCCAACTACTTCAACTCAATATTGATGGTATTTTGAATTAAAATGACAAGTTGTTGGTATAATGATAGTTTATTTGTATTTAATTAACACGAAAAATATTCTAAGTCCAAATAATTAAATTATAAAATAGTGGTAAACGGGTTGTGACTTAGTATCGACTTTGTGGCTGTTCTGCTAGTGCTCGTCGTCTTGGCTGGTGTTCGTCTGATGGACACTTGTCCATCGACGTATTTCGTCGGTTTTCCTATTATATCCCTCCTATGGCATTTTTAGTATAAAAATGGTACATAGCTGCGTATACCTGACGTCATTTCGGGCGTCCTCTACGAATAATGTTAATTGGGATTATATAATTCTCAAAGTTATCTATTTTGTTGTTTACGGCTTTTTGTCCTTCCCAGAATATGGATAATGCGCGCGTTCTATACTCTTATCGATATGGCCGCCCGGACGTTTATATTATTACTATTATTAGGTTACGTGCCCTCTGCAGCATTTATATCTATTATTGAATATAACATATTATATTATAAGCGCATTATACTCAATACAGCATAATATAATATAATATTTTATATATTATTACTATTATAATATGTACGTAGTCACAGCCCGTTACAAATGTTACCCCGAATTACCGATCAACATGTAGTGCCAGAAAAAATTTCGAAAATGAAGGTGAAATGTGCGACTCAAATTTTTTCACAGCGTGTGTCATCCACTATGATGTTTTTGTCATGTAAGTAATGAGTACAATTTCTGTCTAGTTTGTAGTTATAACATTCTTATTTGTAAAATAAGTGTATTACTATATTATTCTAATAAACTATACATTAGCATATAAATCTGTTTTCTAATTAATCACTAATTAGCCTTTTCACATTCTGTTAACAGCTAAAAATTTAATTGATCCAAGTGCTAATGACACAGCAAAAATATGTTTGTTCTTCGATAAGCTATTCGATTCCTTGAATGGTAGTTTTGATGGAGTAATAGATGGGAAAATTTATAGAACATCAATAAAAAAGAACTCTCCTCATCATGCACTTTGGGCGGAACGTCTTCAAGTTCTTTCCACAATGAAATTTGTTAATAAAAATGGAAAAACATGTGTTGTACCAACCATAGAGAATTGGATGAAAACAATACGAGGTTAGTATTATCTATATAATAATTTTTATTTATTTATTTTTTTTTTTGATAAAAATGTTTTCAAAATAAAAATAACAATATGATGCATTTAAAAATAAATTAATTGATATTATTAGGTTTGACTGCGTGTTGGAACAAACCTATTATTTTTTATTGTTTGATTTTAGGTTTTCAAAAATTGTTTAAAACATTGTACAATTATGGCATTCGGTCACTCTTACCACGACATGTAAATCAGGATTCTGTAGAATGTTTTTTTGGTGCAGCACGTAGTGTCAGCTCAAGTGATCCATCATGCCACGCATTTGCATCAGCATATAAAACATTATTGTTGAACAATTTAATGTCATTTAATTCACCAGGCTCAAACTGTGAAGATATAGTTGAAGCAAGTCTAACATCTTATAGAAATTTAATTATTAAAGACCCTAATGACATGAATGTGGTACAAAATAATTGTAACATAACTGTCGATTTACCTGTAACCATTTTTAACGTGCCAATGGGTATTAATATTTTACGGGAGAATGTTCATACCTATATAGCTGGATACATTTTAAAAAAAACTAAACAAAAACTTATTTAAAAATTGTAAAATCTGTCTTAAAAATCTTTGTGCTAACAATGTGACAACAACGCATGATCTAATAACAGCTAGAGATTACACTTTTAATAGACAGTCATTAAAATACCCGTGTCAGATATTCGCTTCTTTGGTTCAACAAATAATTGAATATGTAACCGCACAAATGTCTAAAATTTGTCATCATAAAGATATTTGTATGACACTAAGTTTTAACATAAGGAATAATTTTAATTTTAAAGACCTTCCACTGTGCTCAAACCATAGTGGTGAAATTTTTGTTAAAAAAATTATAAATAGTATTGTTTTCTTAATGCTTAACCAATATTATAATATATTTTAATATGTAATATTTATGAAGTATCGATAATATTGATAATACAGGTATCGATAATACTGATATCGATGTTGAGGTATCGATATTGGGGTACCGCATATTCGATTGTACTTCATAGTTCATGTTTCCAACCACGCGGAGCCCTAAACGCAGTCACCATACTTTTGCATTGAGTCGGTTATCTATAAAGGTATACTTGTCTATGGGTTAGGCGTTAGGACAGGTGACTCGTGGGTCGTGGGTTCAATCCCGGCCGCCGGGAATATCGATAATTTGCGGCGGCCGTGATAAATTGATTTTTTTGTTCCGATTTTTTTCAAAAATTCGAGTTTTAGCTCCTTTTGGTCGTATTACCCTCCCCGTTTGAATCTTATTCGCGTTCCCCACTAAATTTATAGCCGGTGCGCGGCCCTACTTTTTCACAGACGAGTCCCGGGAAAGAGCGGCGTCGCGGAAAAGGGAGTAGGTATTGTGTAAGTATCGCTAAATACAGCAATAAATACATGCGTCACGTCGTTTTTTGCTGTTTTTTTCTAAAATTCGAAAATATGCGACAAAAAGTTCGATTTTTTCATACACACTTACACATAATACCTAAGTCATAACACAGTGATGCACCATTATAATTATGCATTTATAATTACTAAATAATTTAAAACATCATAAATATCATATGACATTAAATAAATTGGTAGGTAGGTACATAATATATTATATACAGTCGTACAATATAACAGCAAAATATTATGATAGTAGGTACTTACGAAGATAAGTGCCAAAAAATTGTATAGTGTATTCATTTATACATACCTACATTTAAGGGGTATGCATACCGACCGTTTCTAAGGAGTTCGGTATAGGCAATTTTCTAATGGTTTGCATGCGGGTCGTGTAAATGTGTGCGTAGTAAGTGATTATTAGTGTGGGTGACTGTGTATTAAATAAATAGTGGAGCACACCACTAGAGTTTATCTAAGCTTGTATAGGAGTCGATTTTCGATATTTTATTTTCAATGTCCAATATTTAACTCTAAAACTTATGATATTTTACTTTTTGAATTTGAATTATTGAGTTTAGTAATTACAAATATTAAAATTTGACTTCTATACAGGCACAGATTAACTTCTCTTCTACAATATTGATAATAGGTGTTTTTACTCTCAAACCACTTAATAAACCATATTATTGGAAATACAAAAGTACATTTTTATAGATTTTTTCAATACTTTTGATACCCCTTAATAGGATAGTATTACATTTCAATAAAATTTGTTATTCAACAATGTTAAAGGATTGCCTACCTGGCTGGCTTTGTCTTACGATCGACTTGAATCGCGTGACTTACGACTAGACACTCTTCCGAGTTCAAAAATTACCGCTTAACCAGTGCTGCCAACACGACAAAACACAATACCCGACGACCCCCCCTTCCCGCCGCAGGCTGGATCAAAAAACCCAGCATCGCCGACAAAGATGCACCACCGCCCACACAGTCTTTCCGCCGCAGGCGGGATGACAAACGCCAGAATCTAGTCTTATACTATAAAACGTGAACCCGAGGGCGCAGCTTGTGGAGTAAATCGGAACTGCTTAGTGAACCCGCCAATGAGAAAATTACATTTCTAACCGCGGGCGGTCTCCCGGAGCCGTCGCTGCGTTATCACTCTTTCTTATCACTTTTTGCGATTTTGTTCAAAAATTAAAGAGATCGTTTCGACGGTTTTCTCGACTTTTTCGACTAGAGTCGCGTTTAGCACCTCTACGAGACGTCCGACCTCCCCGCCAGCGACGTATTCGAGTTCCACGCTAAATTTATAGCCGGCTCGCTTACCTACTTTTTCAAAAACGAGTCCCGGGGAGGAGCAACGTCGCTTAAACGAGAGTAGGTACCAATGGAGTGTCGAGTGGGTACCGCTATATACAGGCATAAATATGTGCGTCTCAAGGTTCGATTTTTTTCGCGACGCTCGCGTATTATACGTGCGAGGGCGGCGGAGCCGGTCGTCCGCTTGCCGACGCGGTCGGATCGCCCGCTCAAACGCTCTTTGACGGTCTTCCAAACGGCGTTCGCGTTTCGCGGGCACGACGACGCGGCTTAAGAGTCATAGAATTGACTCGGATTTTCATCTGAGTAGGTGGCTAGGTTGGTTAGGCGTTAGGATAGGTTACCCGAGGGACGTGGTTTCGAACCCGGTGGCCATGTTAAATCGAATTTCTATTTTTTGCGTTTTTTTTTTCGTCACATTTATCATTTTTAACGAAAGTGTTAATTTTTTTTTAAAATTTGCATTATTATATTATATATATTACTAGCTGAATAACCCGGCTTCGCCCGTGTACAGTTTTTTTGTGTAACCTACTATAACTTTTATTTTATCAGTTTTTATATTTATTACAGGCTGCTTTTAGATAAGTTTATCCTAGGTTGCCCATGTATTGTTACAATCAGAAGTCAGCAAAAAATTACTTTATTTTAATATTTTGAAAACAAATTGTAAGATACAATTATAATCGACGAAATGTTGAAATAAAATATACCCAAAAACATTATGGTTTTATAAAAATCCACCAATATTTATATTGACATATTTTGTTCATCTCAATACCTCTTTATAAACAGTATTTTTGGTACTGCCTTTTGGTGCTAAAATAACCAAACTACTGGCAGAGCTAACTCTAGAACATGCGACATAGAACTGTCCATGTGAAAAACATTCTTCTCTTAAGTCAATCCCTGCCATGCCCAATGATTGTCCTTGAGACTTATTAATAGTCATAGCAAAGCAAACTTTGAGTGGGAATTGTATTCTTTTAAACTCAAAGGGATAATCAGTTGGGATTAACGTTATTCTCGGGATTAAAACTATATCTCCTCTAGCACACCCAGTGATAACTATAGCTTCTATTACATTTTTGTGCAGAGATTTAACTTGCAATCTAGTTCCATTACACAATTTAGGTGGGTTAAGATTTCTTAGTAACATTATAGGTGCTCCAATTTTAAGGATAAGTTTATGTGATGGAAGACCAGAAGGATTCAGAGTATTCTGTATCCAAATTTTTCATACAGTTCACCATTGAGGTACACCTCAATAAATACCAAAAATAATTGTCCGGCTGCCACCAGCTCACATAAACCTCCATAAGTATTAAATTTTAACATATCACTAAAGTAGTCAGCAGAACTACGATAATTATTTCCATCACTATCATGTGACATTATTGAATAATCTTCCCAATTATTTATCACATGGGTTACTATCTTTTTACGTACTTCTTGGGCCTTATCTTGAGTGTCATATAACACAAAAGATATTGCCCTAAACAGGCAAGCTCCGTCACCAATAATTGGAATGATAGTGTGGGACTTCATTATGCCATTTATGTTCAATAATTCGACAACCATATTAATTATTTTTTATTAATTTGTAAGTATGTAAATTTTATTTTAATACACTTCAATGTTTATAAAAAACCGTACATAAACAAAAAAAAAACAAACATGCCCGATTAACCATAGATTATACTGTATTAGCCAGTACATCGAGCTGATGTATTAATTGCCATAGAGATGTCTAAATTGTTATTATCATATCAATATAAATTATTTTTATTTTTAATTCACTCATTTTAATACCAATATTGTATATTTAAATTAAATATTGCTTGAAAGATGGCGCCACTATCATATTCTTTCAACCCCACTTTTACCCCCTTGTAGGTCGAATTTTCAAAAATCCTTTCTTAGTGCGCCCTTACATTGCTTAAGGAACCTCTGTACAAAATTTCAAGTCTCTAGACCCAGCAGTTCCGGCTAGGCGATGATGAATCACCCAGGACAAGTCTTTTTATATATACAGATTATTATTCGTTTGACGATATTTATTGGGAAAAAAAAATATTATAATTAACATTTACCAACGCACCTACATGTTTCTTTTATTAATCTCTTATATTATAAAACGAGGTTAGTCCCCAGTTTTGTCCGACAGGCGCGACGCAGCAAATAAGGAACGCCAATCAGAAAATTCCGTCGCCCGGCCCCGCGTTATCACTTCTTTTCTTATCATTCCGCCGATTTTTGAAATTTTCGAAAATTTACTCTTTTCACACGATTTCGACTGTTTTCTATCGTTTTTCGCCATTTTTTATACTCGATTCGCGTGGCTCGCGATCTCTCGAAGCCGCCGGTGGGCGGTTAATATCCGTGCGCCGTCCGTAGCCGTCGCAATGTCGATCGCAAAATACGCTCCCGGCCGGACTTCTTTGCCGATTTTTTTCGTTTTCTCCGACAGTTTCGTCTTTTTGCACGCCGTTCGTGCCCGAATCGTGTAGTTGACGTCTTTCTAAAGCCGTATATATACGCTTTTCTTACGAAATCGGTAGGTTCGCTTCGCAATCGAGTTTAGAAATTACGACCGACCGTACGCGTATATATACAATATACATGTATATACGTGTATAATTGAATTTTTGCTTATTGATTTAATAATTATTAACGGAAAACGCTTTTCACGCGCCCCATTAAATATATATATATGGGAGATGCGCGTATTACAATCGAATTGTATGCGATTACATCGACGTACATCGAATATATCGGCTTACGTCGCTCCGTAGACGCACGGCTTAAGTGTTGATGTTTTGACCGTATTTCACATCTCA